GTGTTAAGTGTATCTACAGTCTAATTTATCTACACAATTTACATTGAGAAATATAATTTAAAAATCTTTGCTTTTATAAGCTCTGTATTGCTTACAAAGTAACATCAATAAGGTAGATGTTTGGATAATAAGGAGTTAATCCATGTTCTTTTTTATTTTTATTTCATATATATTTTTTATTATTATTTCATTATAATTTTTTTTATTTATTTCATAGCCTTATGTACATAAGTTGGGCAGACCAAAATTATTGCCTGTACTATCTATCTACCGAGATCACTTTTGGCCAACTTTAGCTCGGAGAGGTGTACCAAGAATGGTATGTTCAAATATACTTTATGTGCATATATCTCATATTTTGTATGGCACATTAGAAATGCTGTTAATGCTCAATTGACATCTTTAACAAATGTTGAATATCTTCTTTTATGATACAATTTAGAAACTTAGAGATAAATAAATAAGATAAGAGATACAATAATGAACTCTTGAAGACCTGAATTCCAGATCTATATGAAATGCAAGAAATATTCAACTAAAAGAAAAGGAAATATTTTAAGGAGCAAAAACTTAATAATGCGTTCAAAAATAATCTTGATAAAAATAGCGATTAAGGAATAATTTCCATTTTAACCTTTTATATCTCAACATCTCTGATTTTAATAAAAATTACTCATACATTAGAATACATTATTCTAAGCATGTAAAAAATAATAACAAAATTTACAACATAAAATAAGAAAAATTATTGGAAAAAAATTTATTGTTGCATTTCTGCACCCTTATGCAAAATGACAAAAAGTGCTTGTTGCATTCCTGCAACATTGTGAAAAATGGCACTAAGATTGAATGATTCAAAAATTTTAACTCATATGAAAATTTTTAAAACAGTTGTTACTTTTGTTGTAACAAAGTCCTTCACCACATTTCTCACAAATAGTTTGTGTAAATTCTTTGCATTTTGGGTATTTACATCTGATTCTTTTGTTAGCCTAATTAAGCCAGTGCCCAATTGCATCTTGGCTCACTGGTTTTGACCGACAATCGCCGATATCGTCCTTCAAAATTTGTTGGGGCAAAGACATAGGCTTTTTGTGTATGTTGCAAATATGCAACACGATGATATAAAGGGTTAATACAAGGCTGGGATGGCATTGGCCGGTAGGACGTTAGGCCCATGTCCGAGAGGTCGCGAGTTTGATCTCTACCGCCTGAAGATTTCCCGTGTTCAAAATGGTGACTGATTCTCGCTAAATCTCTCGGGGTCACAAAGTCCTCCAAGTACCCATAACAATTCATACCTCTAGGAATACTGAATTGAAGATTGATCTTACTCTGGTTCAGTTCAAAATTACGAGTTGCGGATGGATGGTGGGTGAATGCGTCCTCCCTGTAAAGTAGACTGGGACGTATATGTGTCGTCTCCAGATCATCCTCATGAATATTTCCCAGAGAGTCGCCAATAACTCATAGTGCAGCTTTAGTGCGACTTAAATAAAAGTTCCGTTCCAAAACATTTTACTACAATTGAACTTCGATTCATCGTTTTCCCATATGTATCGTCTATTTTTTCGTTCCCGTGACAAACGCTATGAGATAAAAAAAATAATATAAAAAAATTAAGTTCATATTACCCGTTTAGAATGTTTCTGAAACTAAAAGATCTATCACGCTTCGATCGTAAAAAAAATTCACCTACATTTGACTTATTTCATTTTAGCTTTTGAGAAGAAAAACATTTACTCTTGGTGAATTTGCTACATTTTGGGGAAAACATCTCAAACATCACGTTTGAGGTATAATTCTTTAGTTACACTGTGGGCCAGCATACAAGGTTTCGTGGTCAAAATTAGTATTTCGATAAAATTTATTTAAAAATTTCAGGTTTTTTATGTGCAGGTAAATTGAATTCATAGTTGAAATTTTGAAATACACTAAAAATACCCAAAAAACCTAGTGGAGCCTTTGGGAACTAAGTTTCGAAGGTCATTCAAACATTGTAAAATATCAAATGATAAGATATAAACTAATAGTTTGACAAGAGTATTAACTAATCCAACAAATTTAAAAATTGTACTTTAATTTCAGACTAATTACTCTGATAAAAATGTAACAGTAAGGTGAAATTCCTATATATATTTCTGAAATAAAAATTTAAAAGTTGCTCTAAAAAAATGTTTTAAACATATTTTTCATTACATTGTACTCTCGTCGATCCAAAAAGTAAATTATAATGTTTGGAATGATTATGAATACTTAATTTGGGATATATTAAAAGATCATGGTCTTCTGACCCACAGTGAGTTGATGAAAATGCAGAAACTTGCGGCGGGATGACAGTTGGAAAAATGGTAGCAGAAGCTGAAGAAGTGCAAAATGATACCGAAGAAACAGACTCACAATCAGTGCATCAAATATTTGGTGCCTTTGAAACATTAAAAGAAGCTTTCTATATTTGCACTAATTTATGGAAAAAAGTTGAAAAAAAAGTCGAACATACTTTTGTGTTGAAAAGAAAGTGTTCAAATCAAAATTTTTTCCATTTTTTAAATAAATACATGCGCTAACTAATCTTTCTTTTGCACAATAAATATTTTTCCATTAAGTGCGTAATTTCTTCACTTAAAAGTTTTCATGCGTATTGTAAATTTATTAATTTTTGAGTCCATCACTTCTTTATTATTTATCATTCGTTGTAGTTATATGTCAGCATTCGATTTTTTCTCGTACCTATCGTTCACTTAATCCATCACTTAATCACAACGCTCCCTCGAAGTTCTACTGTACTCAGTTACTCGTAATTATTGCATACATGTACAACTGTCACTTAATCACAGCAATCCCTCGAAGTTCTACTGTAATTATTGCATACATGTGCAACTGTTATTTTCAAGCTCATACAGGCTTAAATTTATGTTGTTCTAAGAATACTTGCATTGAGGTAGTAATACTTTAGTTCTTTACATACTAATTTTCTTTTAGTTTTGTTTGAGTTATAAAATTAAGTATAGAGATAATTCTTCCGCCCTTTAGAAAGTTCGGTTTCCTAGAAAGGACGAAAACAATCCTAAAGCCATCAAACTAATTCAAAAAGAAGCTGAACCTGAAGCACATAAGGAACAAGAGAATCTGCAGAACATACCCTTCCAAAAAAGAGTACCTCATGACCAAGACGGAAGAAAAAATACTGGTGTGCAACTTTTTGTTAAAATTCCTGAATGCATTTCATGTTGAAATATGCATTTCATGTTGAAATATGCATTTCTTATCCATATTCTGATTTATTTTATTTATATTTTCTTATTATATATGAATTTCGCTAGATATGTTTCCTTGTTTATTTTAGTTTCATACGAGAATTCGCAACGTTGCTTCGCACAACGCGGGGAAAAAAACAAAACTCCAAGAATAATTTTTGATCTTTAAATGATCGTATTTTCACTAATTAGGACTCAATCTTAATGGTTGGATGGCCAAACCTTAAATATACTAATTATTTAGTGCATATGATATTTTCAGTTACACTGTTAGAAATTTCTCAAAAAAAAATGGTTAAATAACAATTTATTGAACGGTTATTTCACCATATTTAATCAAAACAGTCAAATAACCATAAATAAAATGGTAATAAAACTGTTAAGTTTGAGAAAAACTGTTTATTAACTGTTTTCACCTAATACGGTTAAACAATCAGAATTTTATCGCACCTACTAGAACCACCTGAACTAATCGCACCAACTAATGAAGCTGCTTAGTTTCCTGCAACTGCGTACATATCATAGCCGAGTTGGTTTGTCTGTCAATCTCGTGTCCGGCAAAACTGGAGTTAGAGTCCTAGTGTTGACACCACACTATTTCCCCCATTCCCTAATACACATGAAGAGTTTCCAGTGTCCGGCACTCTTCAATGCCTTATGAAAAGCCGAGCGCCTATGTCTAGTTAAATAAATAGTTTTTGAAAAATTCTAGTTGCAAATGGTTTTTTGTATTCATGGTTTTATAACCATACTTTTTGTAAATGGTTTCAAAACCATAAAAGAAAAAAAATTTTAATTACCGTAAACTTTTAGGTTAATTGGATGAACTGACAGCTGCCAGTTATTATACCATAATTTTAGAATGAAAATTTTAACAGTGTATGATATCTAACAAAAAACGTACTTATACATATCTTTCATACATAATATCGTACATATATTTAGTTATTGTTTTCGACTGATTTGAGATTAATACGGGCCCAAAAAACATGGAGGGTAGTACCAGTCTAGGTTCAGTCGGTGCAGTTAACTTGGTTCAGGAGAAGTGTCGAAAGTTTGAACCCTTTTAAGTTAATTATACTTTTTTGTGTATTTCGCCATATTTCGAAAACTTTTTAAGTGAATAAAAAAAATTTCGCAATTATAAAATTCCTTTATAAAAGAAAATTCCATGCAAAAATAATTTTTAATAATTACTTAGTATTATTTACCGTTTTATTTAATAATAGTTAAAGAATTTTGTAAAGTATACGATTTTTTGCATTGTTTTAAGAAGTGAAATTTTGCTTGGCAAAGTATACAAAATTTAGAAAAATAGTTTCTGAGTTATCAAATTTTTAAAAAGAAGTAGTGCATTTAAAATTTGATTTCACAAGAATTAATTCAAATGCAGTCTTTTGTTATGTAAAATAACATTTTTTAAAACAGTTTAAACATTTGTATACCTCGCAGGGCAAAGTTTTTTCGATTCTTATTAAAGGAAGTAATAAATGAAAAATTATTTTCTGTATATAATGAACTTTAAAGTTAATTTTATAGTTATGTGCGAATTTTTTTAAATTTGTTTAAAAAATTTCCGAGGAGTGGTGAAATACGCAAAAAGGAAACATCAACATGTAAGGGGTTCAAACTTTATTACCGTTGATCAAACTATGCGATCTGCTAGTTGATCGGGACTTTTTGCAGATATAAAGGGGAACTGACGCGACGGAGCCTTCTGGACCCTTCCAGTCTTTCTTAGAAGTCTTTTTTTCTTCTTATAATAATAAATGTGGCTAAATTTTTAACATTGAGTTGGAAACAGGCACTTATTATTTATCTTTTGAAAAAGTATTTCATTTCAAGTAAATAATAGTTAGCGTGATTTCAAAACTACTTTTCTGAACCTTATTTTCCCTCGTTCTCTTTTAGCTCAAAACATTTATATATCTTAAGAGGACTTGATGGCACCTCCATTTAATATACAAATTATTTTTCTGAACCTTATTTTCCTTCTTTCTCTTTTAGCTGAAAACACTGAAATATCTGAAGAGAGGTTGACGTCTTCTACAAAAAATATAAGTAGCTGTTGTATTGTTGATCCTAAAAAACTTGCACTGACTAAGGTTTGTTTGTTTTGTAAATAGTATATTAATTGTTTAATTAATCCAGTTGTAATGACTTCATTTTCAACTCATTATGTGTGAAACTTCTTATCTGAATCGTAGGCCATCTTCCTTTTTTCTTCGCTTTTAGTTGGAAAAAAAAGTTTTGTCCATCATAATTAGTGAAGAGCAGATACTAGAATAAGATTTTCCTTAAATAATATTGTCTCTGATGAAACTCTTCAGACTAAGAAGCTTTCCCTCTTTAAATATTTTCTTCATCAAAAAATATTTTATGTAATATTGTGATCTAGTTCGAAATGCCTTAACTATTGTGTTTTTTTAAAATTTAAAATGGTTTTTCTTCCTAAGCAAAACAATCTTTTTTTCTTTTGAAAAAAAAAGAATGCGATTATACACACATTTCGTGATAACGATTTATACATCTAATTATAATTTGTCTTATAATCAAAACTCATTGAGCAAAAATATTATATTAGAAGAAAACTTAAAAATTTTAATTTTGTTTTTTGAAGCTTACTGATGTCGACAGTATAAGGCTTGGACCAGGAAGAGCAATGCAAAGTTCGAGTGGAGGTGAAATTGACTGTAATTCAGGCTCTAGTCCTGAGAGGGCAGCAGGTTGCATTCTATTTATTTTACTGATATTGAATTGAAAACCTGTTAACATTGTAAATCTTTGATTCCTTCGTATATAATTTAAAATTCTTGTTGATAGACGATGTTCGCTTTTGGAACAAAGCGATTGAAAATTTCTATTTTGGATTGTAGGGTCATTTTTACTTGATACATCTACTTGGTCATCTGATAAGTTCTTTTTAACCCTGAAACAGTTTCGTTTTTATTGGGTAAAATAATCTGATTTCTCGGTTCCCAGTTCACCGCTGAATCAGTCTTCACCGAAATCTAATCTCTCTTTCTACTTTTTTTGTTACTTTCGCCATCAATTTAAGCTAGTGCTTTTAATAGAAGGATATAGCGGGAAAAAAAATTTTTTTAACATTAATTGATGAAAATTCATTTAAAGCAAAGAAAATAAGAATAAATTTCTGGATCATTTAAAACTGCAATAAAATTCGAACAAATTAATGTTCGAAAAAAAAATAACTCAAAAGTTCATAAATAAAATTGACTCTCTCCGCACATCAAATTTCTACTCTATAGTTGCATTTTTGCGGTCTGTTGGACGGCCTGTATGATATTATTAACTTCAAGTTTAACAGTTAAAAATTTAAAACTAATTATTGAATGTAATTTTTTTCCCTGACACATTCCCTGATTTTTTTCAAACTCACTTTACCGAACTTAAGTTTCTAAGTGTGATTTCAAAACTTTTTTTTTTCATTATTTCTCTTTTAGCTCAAACCTCTGAAATATCTGAAGAGGACTTGATGTCTTCTACAAAAACTGAAAGTGGTAATAGCAATGATGATCCCAATGAATTAAAACTGACTGAGGTATATTTGTTTCGTTAATTGTTCATTTGTTCCTGAACTAATCAAGTTGTAATAGTTTTTGTTCAACTCATAGTATATGAACTCTTGTCTAAATTGTGGGCTAACTTCACTTTTATTTTTCATTTTACGATATTTTATCTGGTTTAAGTAATCCTCAGACCTCAGATTATACGTAACCTTATGTGGCAAGTGCCAAATAAGGCTACGTATAATAACCCAATGGTGAAAAGATTTTAAACTTCCTTGAAGAGATCAAATTAACACCATACAACACAATTTAATTAAATAATAATATAATGTATTATATACTATAAAATAAATTACAATGTACACTTAGACAAAAATGGCAATTACATAATTTACTATTAAATAAATTACATAACTGATGCACGTTAAAATTATGTCGAGTCGCAAAGTTCTCCATGTTCCCATAACAAATCAAAACCTCTGGGGGTACTGGATTGGAGATCGTCTCTGATTCAGGTCAAAATTACGATATGTGGATGAATTAATGGATGTATGAATGGGTCCGCCTTATAAACAGGTGTGACGTATGGTGTGGCGAAGTCGAATTCTTGGCCATAGATGGCGCCACTGAAAAACAAGAATCGCACACTCTGCCTTAAATTTGCTCGACTTCACCAAGCAGACTTGCCCGTGTGGCAAGTGGCATTACAATCAACCAACCAATATTGAAGTACAGTCCCCAGCAATGTGTATCAGCAATCAACGGAGCAGCATGGCCTCGGGTAATATGCTCCTGCTGAAATAAATTCACCGCTGACTACAGTTTAGAAGTCTGTGATGATAATCGAAGTTTTGTTTGTGATGATGATCGAAGTTTTTAATCAAAGTTGCAGATTAAGATCATAGATCGGCGCGTACAGCGCCTTTTTTTGATACTTGTTGAAGTTTTATAATTTTGCGTTCATTACCTTTAGAGTTCATGTTTACCGGACACGCATTAAACTTATAATAAACTGTGCGCTTATTATGCACTAAATTTATAATAAAAATATATAAAACTTATTTACTGTTTAATAATTGTAAAACAGCTCTGTGGCGTAACTACCACTTTAAATATTAAATGCCAATTATAAAATAAATTACAATGTGCAATTAGACAAAAATGGCAATTACATAATTTACTATTATAAATAAACTAGTGGGCTGCGCCCCCTGCTCGCCAACCCCCGAAAATTGCTACGCAATGTTATATGGTTTGCTTCGCAAACCAAGCTCGCTTCGCTCGCTACTAACTTAGGTACATTGCAAATGCACAAAATTCTAAGAATTCAAAACAATCATTCAAAAAAAATTACATCTTTTTAGTAAATACTAAGTCATTAAAATAAATTTGAATTCAAATAAATGACATGTAATTCGTTAAACCTATTAGAAATGTGCCATAGAATATAATCTTAAGATAAAATTTCTAAAACTGATATCTCTTTAAAAAGGTTCAAATTTCGGCTATAATTAAGTCTATTAAAAATTTAAATACGTGAATTGCAATGGAAAAACCTGCATAAACAAATAAATTCTAGTAAAACAAATAAGTTCGTGATGTAAATCAAAAATTGTCAAATAAATTCGTAATACATAAATGCGAGAAAAAAATAACGCTTTCGACGAAAAACTAAAATAGAGATCTATCGACAAAGACTTCTGCCTAGCTTATGCTCTCCCTGGTTAGTTCAGTTTCCGTTTTTAAAAGCGCTATATGTTGAGCCATCTTAGCTAGATTTGGCATGTGACATTTTTAGCGGCAATCATTGGGCTATTTTCTAGCGTTGCCATTCGGGGAGTTGTAGTAAAGCTTTTTTTTATCGCCGTGTAAGAGAAATTAAAAAGGTTCAAATTTCGGCTATAATTAAGTCTATTAAAAATTGAAATAAGTGAATTGCAATAGAAAAACCTGCATAAACAAATAAATTCTAGTAAAACAAATAAATTCGTGATGTAAATCAAAAATTGTCAAATAAATTCGTAATACATAAATTCGAGAAAAAAAAAAACGCTTTCGACGAAAAACTAAAATAGAGATCTATCGACGAAGACTTCTGCCTAGCTTATGCTCTCCCTGGTTAGTTCAGTTTCCGTTTTTAAAAGGTTGAGCCATCTTAGCTAGATTTGGCATGTGACATTTTTAGCGGCAATCATTGGACTATTTTCTAGCGTTGCCATTCGGGGACTTGTAATAAAGCTTTTTTTTATCGCCGTGTAAGAGAAATATATATATATAGATTACACTGAAGTACAGTCCCCAGTAATGTGCATCGGCAATCAACGGAACACCATGGCCTCGGGTAATATGCTTCTGCTGAAATAAATTCACGACTGACTACAATTTAGAAGTCTGTGATGATAATCGAAGTTTCTTATGATAATAATCGAAGTTTCATTTGTGATGATGATCGAAATTTTTAATCAAAGTTGCAGATTAAGATCATAGATCGGCGCGTACAGCGCCATTATTTGATACTTGTTGATGTTTTATAATTTTACGTTCTTTATCTTTAGAGTTTATGTTTACCAGACACTCATATACTGCTTGATTTATACTGCTTGAATTTCTGTAGAGATTCTTCTTTTGTTGTTTAAGAATTGAGTTGAAGTATTAATAATTTTGATGTTTTACTTTTTAAATGAGAAATTAATTGTTAGGTGAAAATAAATTAATTAAAAAAAAAAGAAAAAGACTGGAAAAATGTCCATAGCAATTCATTTGTTTTTTAATATTTATATCTAAGTTATGCAAATATGTTTAACATGCGTTTTTTTCTTTAAACTAAGTTCTTGTGTCTTTACAGCCTCAGATGAACAATTATGCTAATCGACGTAGTCTCCATGGTAGAGATTCTAAAACCAAAAAAGTTTGGTTTTAGAATCCTGGTGTTCCGAATATCTGAGTTATTTGTAACAAAATCCCCACTCACAGTCATATTTGATTAACATAAAATGTTTTTATCATGTTCTTTAAAAATTATGGTGTTCTTTCAAACAATGAAAGAAAAAACATTTCTAGAGCGAATTATCTTTTAAGCTTCTGTGATTTCAGAATTTTTGTTATTATTATTTTTTTTATCAATTATCTCGGGTCAGAAATATTGTTCGCTCTATGAAATATTAGGTGCAGTAAATTTTGTCCTTATATGTACTGTTTGGCTTTGCTTTTAAAGATTATAATTTAAAGTGATGACGATTCTCCATTTTTCAACATATTTGAGGTACATGAATTTACAGTAAGAAATATGTCTGTTAAAACTCTATCAAAAAAATCCTGCATTATTGACTGAATCATTTTTAAGATAAGATTTCAAACACTTTTAATTAATATACTTCTTTTTTCATACGCTCATATACAGAAGTTGAACGAAGTCAACAGACCGGTGCAACAAATGCCTGTGATACCTAACTTCCGAGATAACTTTTTGCCAACTTTTGCACAAAGAGGAGTACCTAGAATGGTATGTTTCATATTTCCGTTAATAATAAACTTGATAGATTACAAAACTTAAAAATATTAATTTAACTTGAAAAATTAAAAGTTGACATTTAAAAAAATTTAGGATGTTAAGACATTTTGACAAATATGGTTTAAAAAAAATACTGTTTTTGAATTAAATAACTTTTTTCTTTGCATACATAAAGCTGTTATTTTAACCTACTGCTTGTGCTTAACATTCTGGTAAATTAGTTGTGGCAGCTGTAAACAAAGAATTAGGTTATATTGTTTGAATTTCTGTAAAAATTCTTCTTTTGTTGTTTAAGAATTGAGATGAAGTATTAATAACTTTGATGTTTAACTTTTTAAATGAGAAATTAATTGTTAGATTAAAATAAATTAATTTTAAAAAAAAGACAATTTTAAAAAAAATGTCCATAAGAATTCCTTTGCTTTTTGATATATATATATATAAGCTATTATGCAGATATGTTTAACATGAGATTATTTTTTTTAAAAAAACTAAGTTCTTGTGTCTTTACAGACCCAGATGAACATCTATGCTAATCGACGTAGTCTCCAAGGAAGAGATTCTAAAACCAAGAAAGTTATATCCCTTTCTCAAAATGTTAAACTTCATGAAGCTGATAATGTACCTTCGTACAAGCAAGATGCCGCTAGTGACCAGATAGATCTTGTATGTTTGATTGTTTTGTATTTTTAATGTAAAGAATTTTGCATGTTGGTAAGATAATTAATTTCTGGGATAATCAATTATATGGTGCATAGCATTTTTAGAGGAGCTTATTTTTGATTCCCGTTACTTAAAAGCCCTTAAAGGTGCTTTCTTCATTAGGTGTTTTTAAAAAGTGCTTAATTTTCCCTTTTCGAAAATCAGATTTTCTTCTTTAACGTGTCGATTTTCGCCGTGTATTGTGCAAAAGTGTGCTTTTCACATTGTTTTATTCAAAGTTTTCCTAATTCATTCAACCACAATCCATTTCAGCGTACTGTCGGTCCAAAGCGTATGGAAGCGCCAGTTATTTTACAAGTTTGATGAAATACTTTGCGAGTCCGTAAGTGAGTCTACTGAACTGAGTTCAGCGAGAATGTCATTTTAAATTACAAAAAAATTCATGATTTTCACAATTTTCTCTAGTAGGGGTGCACAACTTTTTTGAGTGAAGGGCCACTTGCACAGCAGGTAGATTAACGAAGGGCCGCACTCATATTTAGTCATGTTATCGGCAAACATGATTATTTTTATCTAAACATTAGTAGAAATATTTTTATCGGTAAACTTAACATATTTGCTGAAAACTAAAATAGTTTTAAATATTTGAATTTAATTAAAACTTTAAAAAAAACTGATACATTTTTTAAAAAACTTTTTCCATTTTTCACAGTAATTAATTTATCAAATATTTATATATGTGTGTGTGTGTGTGTGTGGTGTTTTGGAAAGGAAAGACAGTTTTTTTCGATGATGGAAACATTTAATAACAAAATGAAGTATTTACATATGTGATTAGATATGAATAGTTTATGAAAAAAGTATGAAATTTCAAAAACATGGGCCCTCACCCCCGGTTATTAACACATAGGCTATTAGTCTGGGCTATGCAGTTCAAGGGATGTGGGCCTATGCCCTGTTATCGCAGCCAGTCTGGGCTGTTCAGTTCACTGTTCAGCAGTAAAACGAAGAGTGTGTCTCTGGATAAAAAAAAAGAGAGAGACGGTGGTGAGGGGAAGTTGTGACGCTGGAATCATGGCGGCAGCGGAGGGGATGAAAGATGGATCTCATCCTCTACATATATATATACATGCATATATATATATATACATACATACATATATACATACATACATAAATATTTAGGGGCAGGGGATATAAATTTTAACCATAAAGTAGCTTACGGAATGAATACACAAAAATGATACGGTATGAGTTACAAAAAAAATACGCATTTTATAGAGTAATATAAATTTGTATTAAATATTCAATAGAATGAAATTTATAATGTTTAAACGAAAACCAAAATAAATGTTTTATTGTGTTCTGAAGTTTCTGCGGGCCGCACATAGACAGTCGACTGGTCGCATGTGGCCCTCAGGCCATAGGTTGTGCACCTCTAATGCAAAGTTTTTGAAAATGCTTTTAAATATATTGATTGTATGTTTATAAATTAAGAACTTAAAACGATGGAAAAAAATGTATTACTGCACCTCCTAATTATGATTTATTTTGGTAAGTGATTAAAAGTATTTTTTGAGTTCTTAAAAAGTGCTTATTTTTTGTTGAAAAATCTGGCTATGCACCCTGACTATTTACCTTTTTGTTTTAAATTTTAAAAAAATTTTAAAAGGAAAAAAAAGGTTTTTTAATCGGTCGGTTATCCTGTTCAATTTCTAAAGCTAAGCGGTCTTTCAGAAATTTTGCAACATGGCTTGTTCACTAAGACTAGACTCAGATAATCTTAATTTGTTAAGTGTCTGACTATTTTTGACTAAATTTCTTCTAATTTCAGGAGGTTGGCGCAGTGTCAGTTTCAACTGCTCCAACAGTCCCTCAAAGTCAAGCAGATGAGCAGCCACTATCTCCTTTACCTGCTGCAATTGTAGATAGTGAATTACTTAGTACTGTTCCTCTGCCTGGAGAAATACTTTCTGATAATTCACCTCAGAGTGATATCTCACTAGTTGAACAGCAGAGTGATTCATTGTCAGTTTCACCTACAACTGAAAATGAAGACAAAAAAAATGTAAATGATCCAGCACAGAATAAAACTAAACAATCAAACAAACTAAAATATAGCTACAAAGAAGGTGTGTGTGTTATTCTTTTTTTAGAAATTCAAACAAACATTAATTCTGTAAAAATTAAAATACATATGTGTTTTTGTAAGACAGCATTTCTTCAGTGAAGAAGTGCTGTCTTACAAACACACATATATATTTTAATTTTTACGGAATTAATGTTTGTTTGAATTTCTAACTTAAATAAAGCAAATTTGGTTTTAGGTGCTTTTTCATTTTGGTTTAATGTTTTAATTATTTATTTACTTCTTTGTCTCCTTTTTTGCTTTTGTAAATTGAATTCATTTTCTGATTTGATTCTTTTGTTACTAATTACATGGCTGCCAACTCTACTGGATTTACCAGTAGACTGCTGGTTTTTGCATATTTTAGAAAATTCCCTATAACTCAGTAAACTTCTTCAAAAAAAAAATCCCTATTGAAATAGAATTTTTGCACAATTCATTGCTTGAATATTTAAATAAATATTACTAATACATAATGAGGCGAGCCTCATTTATAATATTCAGTTTAAAGCTTATTTAATTTTTTTGGTTCTAAAATTTTCAGAATTCTCTTTTTAAACTAATTTTAAAAAAATCTTTCAACTATTAATAATAAATTGCATGTCTGCCAACTCTTCCGGATTTTCCTCCTTTTTCCGGGTAAGAGCAAAATCTTCCGAATTTGTCCCGTTCTTTTGGAAAAATAATAAAACATCGTCAAATTTGGTGCTTACGAACCTTTTGTGCAGCGATGTTCTAAAATGTAGTTTTCAAAGTATTCGCCAACTCCACTGAGGGTGTTACTTTGACGTCAGACTATGAAGAAGCGTGCTTCAGAGGAGTCCGTTGAATATAGGAGAGGGGAAGTAAGGCTGAAGGCTCTGCGCCACACTCATTGATCTCAGATTAAAAAAGGTAGTCTTTGATTATCAATTCCCAAATTTTGCTTTCAAATTTATACCGTATAAAATCATCTGGATTTTTTTCCCTAGAGGTTGGTGGGTATGAAATTACTTTTTTATTAGTATTCAAAATTATAAGTTAACAAATTAAGAAATATTTGAAATTTAAGTACATTTCATGTCAATCATGAATGGAAAATATTGCAGACTATTTATAGTGTCAACTATAATTAAAATTATTTTAATAAAATTCCCAAAATGTAAAATATTTATGTTGTGCAACAGTTATCAGGACATTTATATTTCTTAAAAATCTACTGGATCTAGTAGGCAGCTACGTAATTATCCTTTGTAAATTGAAATCATGTGTTTATAAACTGTGTGTTTCATTATAGATCAATGGAGTCCTGTAAATATCGAGGGGAAGAAAAAATATGATAGGGATTTTCTTCTTCAATTACAATGCCAGCCATCGTCCTTAGTAAAACCACAGAACTTGCCAAACCTAGATGTCATTAAAAACAAAGTATATTGTTCATTTTGTTTTAGTGTTAATTTTCTACTAAAGCATCTTTAATATTTTTGTTGTGTGGGTATAGGAATTTTGGAGAAAGAGTTGCACTATTGTTGCATTATATTTTAAAGCATCATCAAATTTGTGTATGTCCTATTCTGTAAAGCTTTAAATAGCCGAAACATGTTTGACTAAGAAGAATATATTTGGTAAACTTGTTTGTTGTAAATTTTTGTAAAAATTAAAAACTGTTCAAATTTTAATTTCTATAATATACAGGGTTTTCGCGCACCTAGAAAGTCATGGATTTCAGTATTTAACAAAATTTGTCAGGAAAAGTTATGGATTTAGGTCACCGAAAAATCTAATTTTTGAAATGGATTCTCCCCCCTTCCCGCCCATTTCATGGTGTTCCGAATATCTGAACTATTTATGACAAAATCCCCACTCACAGTCATATTTGATTAACATAAAATGTTTTTATCATGTTCTTCAAAAATTATGGTGTTCTTTTAAACTTTTTTTTTCAATTTAAAATTCTAACTGAAGCAAGCCAGTCATTGGCGAAACTTTTTTTATTCCGAAATGAAAACAGAAAAATCGGGAGTATTTCTTTCCTTTCCGGTGAACAAGAAAAGTATCTTTAGAATGTAATTCAGCAGAAAAAAGAAGAAAATTATTTGCTTTTGTATTTTTTTTTTCAGCTATTTTATTGCTTCAACTCTTTACTCTATTTTTTAAATTTCAAATCTATAAATATTACGATACAGAGTATCTTAATATTTATAGAGTTTTGGTTATACTTATCATTTCAATTAATGTTATTATAATGCTTTTTTAAATTTATTGTTGTTATTGTCGGAGAAAATAGTAACTTCGTTTAGTCATGAAAAATTCGTGGAAAGTCATGAATTTAAAAATCTAAAATGTAGCAGATACCCTGAATATACACATGGGGTGTAATTTCAATGTTTTAAACACCATTTATTTATAATCACCTTTTCTTTGATTGTTTTAAGCTAAGTTTTAAGTGGATTTTGTCGTTTTAAAATGAAGTTTAAAAGAGCAGAAATAATATGGTCCCTAAATTTACAGCATTTGTATGCTAAAAGTTTTTTAAATAAAAAATAGTTTTATTATGTCCATTGTATGGTAAAATGCAAGAGGAAGTAGTTCTGCACTTAAATGGTGCGCAATATTTAAATTTAGCTGTTATTGTTTTTCATTATAAATTTTGATACTCCATGTGTGTAGGTATATATATATATATATATAATTAGAACTAATTATTCAAAAGTAAGAATAAGAAATTCCTCAGGTCAGAAATATTGTTCACTCTGAGAAATATTAGGTGTAGTAAATTTTGCCCCTATATGTACTGTTTGGCTTTGCTTTTAAAGATGATAATTTAAAGCATAGGTTCCCAAAGTGGTCCAGGTGGACCCCCAGGGGTCCATAGGAGACCACACGGGGGTCCATGTAGACTTGAAAAGAAAACAGGGGTTCACCAGTTGTAAGTGGGGGTCCACGAAAAATTTTCTGGTTTTCATAATAAAGAACAAAAATTTTGGCTTGGATTTACCTATCAGCGTAGGCAGATAGCATCATTCACTAGGTATGTACTCAAAAATATTCGAGACTCAGTTCAAACACAGAATTGAATAGAACAATAGATAATAGTACAAGTGTAAACCACATGTCGAGACTTGCAAAGTGCCGCCCGTGCGCTCGCTCGCATTTAAATACCCTGCATGATGACTTCAAAAATAGATTTGAAGATATTCTGACGATGGAAATACCACCATGGATCATAACCCCATTTGATGAAACGGAAGAGACGAATGTGGTATTACAAGAGGAGCTACTTGAGCTCAGCACCAACGAGGAACTGAAGGTGAAATTTAAAAAAGGCTATCAAACTTTTTGGCTGCAGGCAGAAATCCCCGAAAAATATCCTGGGCTGTGGGAAATTGCGAGAAAATTTTTGATAGCGTTTCCCTCGTCATATCTTGTCGAAAGAAGTTTTAGTGCCGTTACCAACCTGTTAACAAAAAAAAGGGAGCAGATTGAACATCACAGAACGGGGAGATTTGAGATTACTTCTTACAAAACTGAAGCCAAATATTGATAATTTGCTGTCAATTCATCAACTACATCCGTCTCATTAAAAGTATGACTATTTTTTATTGTTGATTTACATTTCAGAGTTTATTGTTGATTTTTTGTCAATTGTTGATTGCTTGTAATAATAAATGTGCATTAATTTTTTATTAGCACAAGTATTATTTTAATAAATAGGACACAAGAAAATGTGCCTCTACTTTTTTTTTCTTCTTAGCACCCCCAATTTAGGGTGATATTTTTTTGGAATTTTTGGAATACAGTAGAAATGTAACAGCAGGGGGTCTACCGAAAATAGTAAAACTTTGAAAGTGGTCCACGAGAAAAAAAAGTTTGGGAACCTTTGATTTAAAGTGATGACGATTCTCAATTTTTCAACATATGTGAGGGACATGAATTTACAGTAAGAAATATGTCTGTTATAACTCTATCAAAAAAATACTGCATTATTGACTGAACCATTTTTAAGATAAGATTTCAAACACTTTTAATTAATATACTTCTTATTTCATAGGCTCATATACAGAAGTTGAACGAAGTCAACAGACAGGTGCAACAAATGCCTGTGATGCCTAACTTCCGAGATCACTTTTTGCCAACTTTTGCACAAAGAGGAGTACCTAGAATGGTATGTTTCATATTTCCGTTAATAATAAGCTTGATAGATTACAAAACTTAAAAAAATTAATTGAACTTGAAAAATTACGTGTTGACTTTTTTTTAAAATTTAGGATGTTAAGACAATTCAACAAATATGGTTTTAAAAATGGTTCAAATATGGTTTAATACTGTTTTTAACTTAAATAACTTTTTTCTTTGCATACATATTAAGCTGTTATTTTAACCTTCTGCTTGTGCTTAACATTCTGGTAAATTAGTTGTGGCAGCTGTAAGCAAAGGATTAGGTTATATTGCTTGAATTTCTGTAGAGATTCTTCTTTTGTTGTTTAAGAATTGAGTTGAAGTATTAATAATTTTGATGTTTTACTTTTTAAATGAGAAATTAATTGTTAGGTGAAAATAAATTAATTATAAAAAAGACTAGAAAAATGTCCTTAATTCATTTGCTTTTTAATACATATATAAGTTATTATGCAAATATGTTTAACATGTGATTATTTTTTTTAAAACTAAGCTCTTGTGTCTTTACAGCCCCAGATGAACAATTATGCAAATCGACGTAGTCTCCAAGGTAGAGATTCTAAAACCAAAAAGGTTATATCCCTTTCTCAAAATGTTAAATGCATCAACCATCATTACAATTCATTAAACAAATATAAACTTTAATAAAAGTAATTTCCTGGTTACGCATAAATAAAATGTTACATAGGTGCACGGCCCCCGGCAACGTGCGTGCTTCGATTGTGCATTCAGGAGAGAGAGTGGCGTCATATGTCGCCAAAGTTCGAAGTTGAAGTTGTGGTTCTTTGTCAGTGGCGCGCGTAGCGCCATCTAACGTTTAACAGATAGAGCCATGGTTGAGCTCTGCTACAACCTTATGCTGGAGGGGACTGAGCATGGTTATATTGACACAAATATATTAATTAATGACATAAATGATAGTCAAGACATCAAAAAAGTTATTCAAACTATAATGATGAAAATGCTTTTTCATGGTCAATTTTAGTTTAAAATGATCCTTTCTTATTTTGAAAAGAAAAAAAAAGTTGACAAACCAGGACAAATTTTACAATATATCATGCAATTATTTCGAAACAAAATACAACATGTGTGTACTCATTTTATGCAAAATTTATCGATCTGCTAAAATTTTTGAATTGTGAATTTTTGCAACTTTCACTGAAGAATTCTTTTAACACTATAATATATAATGCACTTGATATTTTCAACGAGTTTGCAAATTTTAAAACTATCCACAGCAGTTAGCTTATCACTTAATCTGAGGTCTTGCTGTTAGCAAAATTCGGTTGTACCATTAAAACCCTAATTGATTTTAAATTTCATCCTTGTAGATTTGGTTATTTTTATTATTTACTAGCCGCCTAAGGCGGCCAGCTGTCCGCCACGCTGAAGGTTTTCACAAATAAAGTTTTTTAAAACATAGCAGGAAATCTGAAGATTAGTGGACAATTAAAGTGTTCCTGTCCTGCAATTTTGTCTTCATATCCAGTTCTGCTGCAGATGTGTTATAGCTCTTGAGGATGTTTGAAATTATATAGCTACAACGCTTAAGAAAAAAAAAATTAAAATGCTAAATACATAAAAAGAACACGAAAACGAATTAATTTTTTATGGTATCAATTCTTATTTCTATACAATTTTTTATGGTATCAATTTCTATTTCTATACCGCTACAAAAATTATCGTCTTCGCTTAAGAAAAAAAAATAGAGCGTGGAAAGAAGAAGAAAAACTTATTATAACAATTATGAACAGCGACAAATATATCAAAGCGAAGCGTTCTATTTACTTATCGAATATGTTGCCACATTTTTAATACAAAAGTTAAACTTTTCTCCACTTTGATAATTGTAAACTAATGCGAACCTTACAATTAAATTATTAATTCCTTCATATATTATTGGTTTAAGTTGACGAAAATTAATATTTCAATTGTAAGGTTCGCTATAGCATACATTTATAAGAGTGGAGAAAAGTATATGCATTTTTTAATAGTTTTTTGAATATGGCTCTTTGAAGACGAAAAAGCATAGATTTTCTTACAAAATGACTGATAACTAAAAAACTAATCCAAATTTTTGAAAAAGAAAAAAAATACTTCTTCATTATGTCAAAACACAATTATGTGTCGAGTTTCGTGCCTGGGCGAGGCTTCTGGGGCGATATATTGTGATTACAGACACACACACACACACAGCAGCGTTTATTATTATGCATAGATAACTACTTTTTATATTAGATTGATATCGCTTGATTTCTTTCCAGAAATCGTCTACTGAACCTCGCAATACACCTCATGATGTGAATACGCAGGCTGTTGCAGCTCAACCAGAAAAGTTTCCTATCTCTGATGGAATGCCTACTGCTCAGCAGCACTATCAGTCGATGGCTGGTCCAGTATATAATCCTCAAGCTGCTACTTTAGCACAGCAATGTCAACAGATGCATGCTAAACCTATGGCAATGCCGGTAAGATAGAAATAAATCTTAATTTTATAAATTGTGGGAATATATAGATTCAAACCAAGTTTCTTGAATAACTATTCTTAAACCGTGATGGCTCAGGGGATAGAGCGTTCGACTTCCAATAAGTTAAACCTGGTTCGAATCCCTCCGATGGCTGATCGATACTAATCAGCATCCGGCTAATCAACATCCGACCACAGTGCTGACATAAAATATCCTCAGTGGTAGACGGATCATGGGTTAGAGTCCCTTGGCCGTCAGACTAACTGTGGGAGGTTCTCGTGGTCTTCCTCTTCATGTTACGCAAATGCATGTTAGTTCCGTCAAGAAGTCCTCCACAAAGGCAAATTTCTCCCAATAATTGATCCAGGAGATCCCTTGTCTTCTGGATTAGGTTCAAAATTACAAGGCTACGGAGATGAACATTAGTTGTCTTAAACTCAAAAAAATTGGGTCCGCTGTTCAACGACAGTTATAAGAATAAAATAGTTCAAGTTGAATAAGATATTTTATCACTGAAATGTTTATCAAAATGTAAGCCTGCCTGTCTGTTCTAAAACTGTTGAAAGTAATATAAAAAGTAGCATTGTCATTTGAATTTAACCTAAAATTCAGAGCAGATTATATATAGTTTTAATGTTGTTCATTATAAAGTACTCGATTTTTATTTATGCGATTACTTAAATTATTTACTGTTATGCAACCTTTTTTTTAGTACTTGTTTTTAAATTTTGATACATTAATTTTGATTTAGATTCTTTTTTTTCTCAATGCCCACCTGGTTAATGACCCAGGTCATACAGGCACCTGAAGGGCAGATTTGTTGGCCACTTTTTCAGGGGCACCATATTAGGTGGGCCAACGTTGCTCCCACAGTAAGGACTGAAGTACAGTAAGGACAGATAGTAAAGAGCATTCATGCCTTGCCCGGGATTCGAACCTAGAACCTTTCTGATGCAAGGGCAGTTCCCTAACCCCTACACAGGCCGGTCGGCTGGTTTACATTCTCGACGTGTTTATTTTCTCTTTCACTGTATTACTGTTTTTTAAGCAAGTTCGAATTTCTATTTATCAATAATATTCCTGATTCATTTAATTTCACTATCATTTTATTCTTCTTTTTTATCAACTTCTATTTTTGAGCTGCTGATGACAGAAATTTAATTCGTGCTATTTTATACTATAAATATAGAATATATATATA